AGTGAGTCATTCAAATGAGACCCGAAGACAAGGAAAAATAAATAAGCAAAGGGAGGGGCTACTTCCTTCAACAGAGGTAATGCTTATTCTTCTTTGTCCTGGTATTCTTAAATAAGGCAAGGCTTTTCCCTATTCCCTATCAGAAGCACTTTCAGTAGAAAAATAAATTCGTCTCAAATCCAAAGCACCTTCAACTAAGTCAAACAATTCAGTGACTAGAAAATCATATCACTAAACATTGGATTATATACAATCTCTTGAACATTGCAACTAATCAATCGAGACTCAGAGAGTCTTCTTTACATTTAGAAATTTTCTAACTTTCTCTCTCTATATATATAGTAGCCAATTAATCATATCGTAATTAAGTATTCAAAATTAATGCGGAAACCATTAAAGGGGTTTAAAAGGCGAAGATTAAGATCAAAAACCTATATTGCACATATGCAATTAGGATTAATTTATTTGGTCTAGAAGGTAGAATTGAAAAGATTATTATTGGACGATCGAGAATTAACCTCGACACAAGTAATTATAAGAAGTATAAAAAGATATTATATGTGAATGATAACAACGAGTAATTTGAACATGCAAATAGACGTATCAAGAGTAATTTCCCCCTAATTTGTTGTCATGAAAGTTACCTTTGTCTCATTTAAAAAAAATTATAAATGAAATGGTACGACGCGGTATTTCGTTGTACCTTAGTTGACTTCAATCTTAAAATATTTCTTATCAAGTAAACATCTTCTGATGCTTTATTTGATTCCTCATTAATAAGCCAAAACTTCTCTAATTCCTGTCCGAATAATGTCAAATAATCATATTTGGTCATATGTCAATTTCAAGAAAAATTTAAAATTTTTAACCTAATTTTGATCCCTTTGATCTTAGAGGTTGCTTTATCTCCTACTAGTACATCCTCTTGAGCATGAGGACTTAAATTTTTAACCTAATTTTGATCCCTTGATCTTAGAGGTTGCTTTATCTCCTACTAGTACATCCTCTTGAGCATGAGGACTTAAATTTTTAACCTAATTTTGATCCCTTGATCTTAGAGGTTGCTTTATCTCCTACTAGTATATCCTCTTGAGCATGAGGACTTTGCTTTTTGTGTTAACTCTAGTGGATTACTTATTCTTGGGTACCGGGGGCCTTTCACTTGGTAGAATGGTAGAGGTAGACGGTCTACCGTAGACCTAATGGTGAATGCATTTTTAAAAGATTGGACAAGATATTTGTGAACTTGTCATTTCAGAATTTTTTCCGTACGATGGATCACGTCTTTCTTTATCTTTTTAATTAAGTGTTTACTCTTTAATTATTGGTAATTAAAAGCTTGTATACATCATATAATATAAGTATATATTTTTTCTCATTTGTATACATAGTTCAAAGAAAAATCAGTAGCCTCAGCTGAACCCCCAAACTTATTCCAAATTATTTACATTGTATGACCTTTTTAGGCATTTTTTAAATGTCGTTAGTTCAATAACCGGCAAAGTTACTGTCATGTGACCAAGAGGGGTTCAAGCTATGGAAACAGCCTCTTACGAAATGTAGTCTTTCTTCGGACCTCACGCATAGCGGGAGCTTAGTATACCAGACTGTTTTTTTATAGTTAAGAATTAATTTTTTTTCAAACAAATTAAACTCACTGAACTAACGGAAACAGAACCAAAATAGTGGTTCAGGAATGGCCTTTTATGCAACTGCCCCGCTTAGGAGCTCGTTTGGATTGGCTTAAAAAAATGGCTTTTCAGCAGAATTAACTTTTAAGCCAAAACTCAATAAGTTGGGGTTGCGCAGCTTATTGCTTTTGGCTTGTTTTAAGTAATTTTAAATTTATTTTAAGCATTTTTTAACTTTGCCAAATACTAAAAAAAAAACGAAAAAAACTTAAAAACTGAATGACTAGCTTAAAAGTCAATTCAAATCCCCTCTTGGTGAAGGACTTGAAATAGATGCCATCCATTTTATTTCAAAAGTGAAATTTTACCCCACCATAATGGGCTAAATTTCAAAATTCTCCTTAAAGAAAGAAAGAACCCCATTTCCCCAATTCCAATTTTAGCCAATGTAGGCCCCATCTTAAATAGAGTCCACACATAATCGTACATAGCTACACTAGCCAACCAAAAATACCATAAAAAGTGGGCTATGGTCAAGCCACTCGACCAAAAAAAGGGTGTGACCCAAAACACACATACTAACACACCTTCGATTTCACATACTCACAAGTCATAACAATAAATGGACCTAAAAAGAAAGTCCATTTCCAATACTACAAATTTAATGTTTTTGGTATTCATATTTTCTTGTCAATAATAGTCTAATACCAATCCCCAAACGACCCAAAAATATCATAACAAAGGTCCAGTTTGGTTTTTATCGGGTTCAAGCCCAATTCTCTTTCTCTCTCTCCCCTTTCTCTCTCCTCTCTCCCTCTTGCTGAAACCCTAGATCTGGTTCACTATCGAAGCCTGAAAAACCCGGTAAGCTCCATTTCATTATCTTGGTTTTGTTCTAAATCGAATTTAAGCATCTGGGTTTTGCTTAAAATCGAATTTTGTTATCTGGGTTTTGCTCAAAATTGAACTTTCTCATCTGGGTTTTGGTCAAAGTCGAATTTTCTTTTCTGGGTTTTGCTCAAAATCGAACTTTGATATTTGAGTTTCTTTTTTTATCATTTCAGATTTGACTTATTTTTCCGTTTTTAGATATATTTTTAATGCTTTATTGTGTTAGTGTGAAGATTGGTCTCTTGATATTTTTGTTAGTTTTATGTTTATATTTTGGTGAAAATGCGTGCTATATACTCTGTTTCATGGTTAAAATAAAATTTTAAAGCTTTTTGTTGTAGTAATATTTTTGTTTCAATATCAATTTTGTTCTTGTTGTTTTATGGTGTAGTTATTTAGAATTTTGACTTTTCAGGATTAATTCAACTTTTTTTGCTGGTATGTTACAAAAAATGAGTTTTATAGTTTTCTTGTTCTGGGCTTTAAGTTGAAGGTCATTTTTAAAATCAAGGGACTCTGAAATGGTTCTTGAAATTTTTAGTCATTTCTTTCTGGGTGTTAGTAAGAGTGTGTGATATGGGCTTTGTTTAAATTTGTGTCGAAGCCCATGTCTGATCCGTTTTTCTTAGTTAGATCTAGTTAGTTTATGTTTGTACTTGTTAGCCCATATTTTGGGAAACGCCCTTTCTGACCCTGACTTTCTTCGAAATAGAATAGTACCCTCCTTGTTGCATTAGTAGGAGCATTACTAGCACTTTTCAGCCTTAAGGGCAGCCTGATGCACTAAGCTCCCGCTATGCGCGAGATCTGGGGAAAGGCCGGACCGCAAGGGTCTATTGTACGCAGCCTTACCCTGCATTTCTGCAAGAGGCTGTTTCTACGGCTAACTTTTCTGCCTTGTCATTGAAAAATAGCCGTTGTACTGGAGTTTCAAATTTTATAAGTGGAACTCCATGATAACACTAATGGAATTTGAAACTCGTGGATATTTTTCAATTATAGGGGCTAAAAGTTGACTATTTGTGAAAATTTCCCAGTATTACTATTAGGACTCGTTTGGCTATAGGTTTTGCCAAAATTTATTTGGTTTTTTTTTGGAAAATACATGTTTGTTCATAAATTTTATCCATATTTTGGTAAATTCCCAAAACCCAAAACCCAAACCAGTTCAAAACCTAAATCCCAAAAGAGTTGGTTTTGGCCCAAAATCTTACTATTACATTTTTTAAAAATTGCCCCAAACTTTTATATTTTATAAAAAAGCCCACAATTTATTACTCCCTCTGTTTCAGTTTATGTGAACCTATTTCCTTTTTGGTCCGTTCCAAAAAGAATGAACCCTTTCTAAATTTGGTAACAATTTAGCTTAAAGTTACAACTTTACCCTTAATGAGAAGCTTTTATAACCACACAAATACTCAGGGCCCCATTTGGACTTGTTTAGGACCACAAATTCTAAAAGTCTTTATTTTTTTCTTAAACTCCGTGCTCAGTCAAACAAGTTCACATAAATTGGAACGGAGGGAGTATTTTGTAAGAATGTTGCTTCGTCTTGTATCGGTTATCTGATAGTGTAGTTCATTAAAAAAATGATAATTTTGTACCAAATTTATTTATGTTCAGGACTATGGTTTGCGATAATATGATGAATGCTATTGATGAAGGTACTGTTGGGTATTTGTAACAGTTTTTAGAACTTGTGGGTATAAGTCATGTTTTGTGTTTTTTCAAAAAAAGAAAGAAAGAAGTGAAATATGATTTGAAAACTGATGTCCAAACACATTTTTATCTTCAAACCAAACTTCACCCAAATCAGATTTTTCAAAACAAATTTGGGATTCTATGGCCAAACGCTAGCTTAAACTTTGGGTTAGCTTAGTTTAGGGATGAGTTCAGGCAGGGCCGGGCGGGGCCTTGATGGAGGTAATTTAGTCCCTCCAAGTTGTGCCCATGGACAGGATTCTTCAGCTCTGAGGAACTAATGTCATGCATTTGTTGGCTAAAGCTTTTGGCCTCCTGTTCTATTAGTCCAAAGAGTAAATACTATGCCTGCTCTCTGCAGTGATGAAGTTGCAGCCTAGTGGTTGTAACTCCACAACGCATTCGTTAGGTGCAGGATTAAAATCCTACCAGTGACCATTGGCTGCAACACCATAGTGAATCTCTTGGTTGCAAGGTTCAAATCTTATGTAAAGCCTTCCTCTTTTCTATCTTCCCTGTGTCACTCTTCACGGGCTCATTCTCCATTTGGAAAAAGCTTAAAAGAAAATCAGTATCTTATATACTCTGCAGCTTAATGACAAAACCACGGAACCACCTGCTATTCTGCTTTAAAAGGAGCAAAATACGCAACCTTAACATTTCTTGTGGACCTAAGCCCTTTGAAAGATGCAAAATCCTTAGCAGAAATGGATGATGCAGTCAGCTGAGCTGTAGCCATTTCCTTCTTTACTGGGAAAGAGGCTCGACTGAAAGCAAATGAGTGGTTCTCTCTACTATGGACTGAGGAGTGAGTGAGGTGTGTGCTTAGACTCGTCGAAGATAGAATACGTCGAGCCATTAAGGATATCAAAACAGATACTATTTTCCTAGGGAGGAGGGAGAGAAAAAATATAGAGGAAGAAAGAGATGTCCTAAAAAAAGGAAGAAAAGGAAGGGGGGGGGGGGGGGGTTTTTNTGCATATAGTACAGGGTCGAAAGTAGCAGGCACTAGTCATCTGAAACGCCATATTGCCAAAGGAACCTGCCCAGTAGTCTTGCGCAACCAGCAGAATGATCAATTGACCCCTTATAGTGCTCCTTCAAAGATGAGTGGATATGGGGGTAGTAATGGTACACCTAAACGACGTTATCGAACTGCTTCTACTCCTTATCTTGCTTTTGATCCAGACCGGTGCCGCCAGGAGATCTCCAGGATGATCATCATGCACGACTATCCCCTTCACATGGTTGAGCATCCAGGCTTTCTTACTTTTGTCCAGCATCTTCAACCTCGGTTTGATATGGTGAGCTTCAACACTGTCCAAGGAGATTGTGTGGCAACTTATCTTAGAGAGAAGCAAGCGATTCAGAAAGTGATTGAGAGAGTACCTGGGCGGATCTGCTTAACACTAGACATGTGGTCCTCCCATCACACTGTGGGTTATGTGTTCATAACTGGGCAGTATATTGATAGTGAGTGGAAAATTCACAGGAAAATACTCAATGTCATAATGGAACCATATCCAGATTCTGACACGGCTTTCAGCCATGCAGTTGCCGCTTGCCTTTCTGACTGGAGTATGGAGGGGAAGTTATTTTCTGTCACTATTAATCAACCAATCAGTGATGCAGCTGTTGATAATCTTAGAGCTTTACTCTCAGTGAAGAACCCTCTTGTGCTAAATGGTCAGCTGTTGGTTGGAAATTGTCTTGCTCGAACTTTGAGCAGCATTGCCCAAGATGCATTTTATTTTTTGCATGGAACTGTTAAGAAAGTAAGATATAGCGTAAAATATGTGAAAACATCAGAATCTCACGAGGAAAAGTTTATTGAGCTCAAACAGCAGCTTCAGGTGCCAAGCACAAAGACGTTGGCGCTTGATGACCGAACACAGTGGAACACAACATATGAGATGTTGTTGGCTGCATCAGAGCTGAAGGAAGTATTTTCATGCTTGGATACATCTGATCCTGATTACAAGGATGCCCCATCAGTTGAAGATTGGAAGCAAGTTGAGATTCTGTGTACTTACTTGAAAATCCTCTTTGACACTGCCAATCTTCTGACTGCACCAACAATTCCAACAACCAATACATTCTTCCATGAAGCGTGGAAGATTCAATTGGAACTGGCTCGTGCTGCAGCAAGTGAAGATCCATCCATCAGCAGCCTTACCAAAACTATGCAAGAGAAATTCGATAAATACTGGAAGACTTGTTGTCTGATGTTAGCTATTGCCGTAGTAATGGATCCACGCTTCAAAATGAAGCTCGTTGAATTCAGTTTTACGAAAATATATGGTGAAGAAGCTGCTACCTATGTGAAGATTGTTGAGGAGGGAATCCACGAGCTCTTCCTTGAATATGTGGCACTTCCTCTGCCTCTGACCCCAACTTATGCTGAAGACGCAAATGGTGGGGCTATGAAGCAGGAGAATGCCCAAGGCGTCGGTGCCTCTAGTAATGGAGCCGGACTTACAGATTTTGATGCCTACATTATGGAGACCACAAGTCAGCAGTCAAGGTCTGAACTTGATCAATATTTGGAGGAGTCCTTGTTGCCTCGTGTTCACGAGTTTGATGTTGTGGGGTGGTGGAAACTGAACAGAATGAAGTACCCAACTCTATCAATAATGGCTCGTGATATATTGTCAGTTCCAGTTTCTACTATAACAGCTGACTCTGTATTTAGCACAGTAAGCAAAGAGATGGATCGTTACAGGTGTTCCTTGCGACCTGAGACAGTGGAAGCGCTCATCTGTGCCAAGGATTGGCTTCAGAATGCATCGGTAAATACTTTACACGCACCACTAAAAATGGAAGTCCCGATTTAGGAGGTTGCTGTAATGTTTGAGTAGATGTCTAGAATGGTATTTTGTAGCTGACTTTATTTCCTTTTAGATTGTAAAATTTCTCTCTTTTCTGTTGTCGTCTGAGGGTTGAGTTTCTTGTATCATAATTCTGAACCATTAAGCTCTTTACTTGAGAAATCTATTCGACATGTTAAAAATCTCCCTTTTCATTTCACATTTGTATATGAATGCGTGAAGCAGCTTAGTTGGTGCATGATTTGAGTGTATATATTGTTCTGCTTCACAAATTTGTTCTAATTCACATGTTTAGATTATAAAAGCTACTGCTTCCAGGGTTTTTTCTTACAGTAGTGATGCTGACTGGGACTTCTGTGTATTCTTATGGAAAATTTAGCGTTGGGTCTAACACAACCAACGTATACGTCTCATGTCTCACACATGATAAAATTTCTCCTTACTCTAGTGTATCGGCATAATTATTATCTTCATTTTCAAATTTCAATTACCCTTCTCTATTAAAGAAAAGAAAAAAAATATATTCATTTTTGGTTATTTATTTAAGAGATGACCTAAGTCCAGTGTAGTTTTAGTATAATATACCGACTTCCAGCATAAAATACTGGAGTTCCAGTATAATATACATATCCAGTATAATATGTTGGAAGTTTATACACAGCTGCTCCAATCTCCAGTATATTATGGGAGAAATTCAAAAATAGCCAGATTTACAAGTAGTCATTCAAGAATAGCACGTTTCAAAAGTAATCAAAATTTAGCCACTTTTTATATAAAGATAAATTTGAGCGAAAATACTGTTCAAAACTCGGAAAATACGCCAGCATATTATGCTGGAGTTCCAGGATAAGTATGCTTGAACTCCAGCATATTATACTGGAGTTCCAGGATAAGTATGCTGGAACTCCAGCATAATATGATGGAGTTCCAGCATAAGTACACTAGAACTCCAGCATAATATGCTAGAGTTCCAGCAAGTATATCGGTCCAGCATAATATACTGGAGTTTGGAGCACCGGTGCTCCAGTCTCCAGTATATTATACTAGAGCCAGCAAAGTATACCGGTCCAGCATAATATGTTAGAGTTCATACACATGTGCACCGAACTCCAATATATTATGCTAGACCGGTCTCTGTTGCAGCAAAATAGTGGCTATTTTTTATTGACTTGGTAAACGCTGGCTATTTTTGAATGACCAGTCCAAAAACTGGCTATACCGTGCTATTTTTACGTATATTATGCTGGAACTTTTCACGTGTTAGAGTTCCAGCATAATATGATGGAAGTTCATACACATGTGCACTGATCTCCAGTATATTATGCTGGAATTTTTCGTGTTACAGCAAAATAGTGACTATTTTTCGATGACTTTGCAAGCGCTGACTATTTTGAATGATCGGTCCGAGAACTTGTTAGCCCGTGCTATTTTTACGAAAAAGGGCCTAAAGAGGCCAGACTCCCAATCAAGCCCACTTGGCCCACTAAAACCCAATTCATCTTTTTTTGGGAGAAATTAAAAAATAGCCAGATTTACAAGTGGTTATTCAAAAATAGCCACAGTTTCAAAAGTAATCGAAATTTAGCCACTTTTCATGTAAAGATAAATCTGAACGAAAACACTGTTCAAAATCCGAAAAATAGTATATCTAGTATAATATACCGGTCCAACATAATATGCTGGAGTTTGGAGCACCGGTGCTCCAGTCTCCAGTATATTATACTGGAGCCAGCAAAGTATACCGGTCCAGCATAATATGCTGGAAGTTCATACACAGGTGCACCAAACTCCAGTATATTATGCTGGACCGGTCTCTGTTGCTGCAAAATAGTGGCTATTTTTCAATGACTTGGAAAACGATGGCTATTTTTGAATGGCCAATCCGAAAACTGGCTAGACCGTGCTATTTTAACTCTTTTTTCCTTTACTGGATATATCCAAGGTGATTCGCTGGTTGCTTCCTTTTTAAAAATTATTTTTCCAAAACCGACACATTGTTTTTTACCTTTTTAGCACTTTCACATTGGTAACTCACTAAGGGATCCCTCTACATCAATACACTTTTATTTCATTTCATTTTCCTTCTCTCTTCTATAATTTTTTCTTGTCTTCCATAAATAACACTTACTCGAATATATCAAAGATTCTGAAAAAAGAATATCTAAAAAATAATCCCCTCTTTAACTAGGTTGCACAATGGGAATTTTAGTATTTTTTTGTCACGACCCAAGTTCGCCCTCCGTGAACTGTTGTGACGGCACCTAGTCTCTACGACTAGGTAAGCCTAACAAATTGCGAAAAGGAAACGAAATACGAAACTAGCAAGAACTGCGAAGAAACATACTAAAAACGTTTAAGATGCCACTCGGCATATACAAATACACACTCTCAAAACTGAATTAACTCCCAAAACCCAGAATCTCATGAAATCACAAGCTGTGGATACTACATAGTGTTTTAACTCCAGAATGTCTAATCAAGAAAAATACAGAAGGGCTATAGCTAAAAAAGAGAATAAAGAGGGACTCCTCGGTTTGCGGATGCGACAGATATACCTTGAAGTCTCTGAAGATCGCCTCGCCTCACTGAAAGTATGGCTGAGCCGAAGAACTTGGATCTTCACACGAAAAACATGTGCAGAAAAGGGCATGAGTACACCACAACGGTACCCAGTAAGTGCCAAACTAACCTCAGTCGAGTAGTGACGAGGAAGGTCAGAGCCCTACTGGTTATATACATAAAACAGGGTAAACAGTACGAAATGTGACAATATAATTAAAGCACTAACAGTTATTAGAGAACAAAATCATAGAAAGAATGTAACTCAGTACACAAAGATAGCAACAGGGGATCTCCCGAGATATTGTCCCGTAGTCCCAAACGTAAAAGTGCAGAGGATCTCCCGGAATACCAATCCGTAGTCCCAAAGTAAATATCCAGTACAGGAAAATCTCTGGAGTGTCGTCCCGTAGTCCCAAATATAAACATGTAGGGGGCTCTCCCGGAATACCGATCCGTAGTCCCAAAGTAAACATGCATGGGGATATCCCGGGAGATCGTCCCGTAGTCCCAAAGTAAACAAACAACAGTATCAGAAAGAATCTACAGTTCTATTCGTGGATAAATAAGAATTCTACTCTAAACATGCTGCACGTAATACAAGTAAGCAGTCAAAACAGGTAAGACAATTAGAACACATAAGCATGCTTTTTCCTAGGCTAAACAAGAGGCTTCAAGTACAAGTATTGCTCAATTACAAGAAGAACACAGGTATTTACTTAATAAAAACGGGATTTTTCAACAATTAGCACGTATATGCCCTTGTCACATCACGTACACGACACTCATATAACAACAATACCAAAATCTTAAGGGGGGTTCCCCCCACAAGGTTAGGCCAGCCACTTACCTAGAACCGGCTCAAAATCAATCCGAAATCACGCTCTTGCCACGAGTATCCAACTCCGGGTGGCCCAAATCTAATCAAATTAATATCATAACGTAAATACAACTACAAACAACTAATTTAGCTAATGAAATTGAAGCTAAGGCAAGAACATAGAAAAACGCCCAAAAATCCTCCCCGGGACCACGTCTCGGAATCGAGTAAAAATTATGGATTATGAATACCCATTCACTCACGAGTCTAACTATACCAAAATTACTCCAATCCGATACCAAAATCTTGATCAAAACCCCAAAATTAGGTCTAAGAACTTTTCTCAAATTTTCCCAAATTTCTCACCCCAAATCTGAATTTAGATGATGAATTCATGTTTAGATTAATGAGTTATAAGCAAAAAGGAGTTAGGAATCATTACCCGCAAACTTTCTCCGAAAATCTCTCCAAAATTCGCCTCCTACCGAGCTCCCAATTCAATTTTGTGATATGAACTCAAAACCCTCGATTTTGAAATTTATGTTATGCCCAGACACGTTCTTCTTCGCGAACGCAAGTCCATTGTCGCGTACGCGATGCACAAAAATCACTGGCCAGCCTTTCCTCTTTCGCGAGCGCGAGGGTCCACTCGCGAACGCGTACCTTACACTGGCGGACCCTACGCGAACACGAGGACCATATCGCGAACGCGAAGGTTAAAGGGCCCATACCTTCACGAACGCGGGGGCATCATTGCGAACGCGAAGCACAATTCAGCTGCTTCACCCAGATGCTCTACGCGAACGCGATGAAGGTTTTCTCTGCAACACAACAGTAGAAAATCTGCAACTTCTCTAAGTCCAAAAATAACCCGTTGAGCAACCGAAACACACCCGAGGCCCCCGGGACCTCAACCAAATATGTCAACCAATCCTAAAACATCATACGAACATAGTCCAACCCTCGAATCACATCAAACAACGCTAAAACCACGAATCACCCTGCAATCCAAACCTAAAGAACTTGAAATTTCAAGAATCCTACAACTGATGCCGAAACCAAATAAACCAAGTCCGATTGATCCCAAAATTTGCACACAAGTCACATTCAACACTACAGAGCTGTTCCAACTTTCGAAATTGGATTCCGACCCCGATATCAAAATCTCACTATCAATGCGAAAACTTCAAAAATTCAACTTTCTGCATTTCAAGCCTAAATAAGTTACAGACCTCCAAAATACAATCCGAACACGTCCCTAAGCCCGAAATCACCCAACAGAGCTAACGAAATCGATGGAATTTCATTCCGAGGTCTTCACACTGCTCCGACTACGGTTCAAATTCTAAAGCTTAACCTCTCATTGAGGGACTAAGTGTCCCAAAATACCCAGAAACTCAAAACGAATCCTCCCGGCAACTCATAATAGCATAAAAAAATACGGGAAAAGCAGTTAATAGGGGATCGGGGCGTTAATTCTTAAAATGACCGGCCGGATCGTTACATTTTTTCTTTTAAGTTTTAAGGTTTCTAATTGTTTGGATATCTAGATCTATAAGCATGTATGAAGTAATGTAACTTAAATTCAGTAAATATTTATAAAACATACACTGTATAACCACTTGTTTTTTATTTAATAATTTTATATTCTATTATATTTAAATATAATAGTTACAAACTTATTGTATCTTTCTAGAGTAAATTTAAAAATTGTTTATGCCATGATTTTCTCTTCCTTTTCACTAGTTTCTCTCCCTACCACAAAATTCAGTCACTAAATAAAATGAAAGGCTTTAAACGCGAAGCATTCATGAGTCATTTTTATACTTTGTATATAATAGTAATTTTATATAATATTT